CGTGGACTGTCTGCTAGTGTGTATGTACTGTCTGCTAGTGTATATGGACTGTCTGCTAGTGTATATGGACTGTCTGCTAGGTATATGGACTGTCGGCTAGTGTGTATAGACTGTCTAATAGTGTATATGGACTGTCAGCTAGTGTGTATGGACTGTCTGATAGTGTGTATGGACTGTCTGCTAGTGTATATGGACTGTCTGCTAGTGTATATGGACTGTCGGCTAGTGTGTATGGACTGTCTGCTAGTGTATATGGACTGTCTGCTAGTGTATATGGACTGTCTGCTAGTGTATATGGACTGTCTGCTAGTGTATATGGACTGTCGGCTAGTGTGTATGGACTGTCTGATAGTGTGTATGGACTGTCTGATAGTGTATATGGACTGTCTGATAGTGTTTATGGACTGTCTGCCAGTGTGCTTGGACTGTCTGCCAGTGTGCATGGAATGTGAACAGATAAACAGTCTTAGAAGATTTTAACCTTTTCCCCAAAAAAATGCTTACCAATATTAAAATTCAGGAAAAACAAAATAATATATTTTTAAACTAAACTGTAATTTTCTGCGTTAAATAACCCATGCTGAAGGTGAGTATGATTGCAAAAATGAAAACAAAATACCCCCAAAACACCAGTTACCTACAAACTATCACCCATATAGTAGCATGCCTTCATACTATCTACTTGAGAATAATGTAACCTGGGTTCTAGAGAATCAAGTAACAGTCAAAATCCCATGCTTAATTTCAGATGATATCTCTAATAGTTGACAGGTGGAGGTCAGAGTCAATGGTTAGTAATATATAACAGATGGATATCATGGGCAAAGGTTAGTAATAATTGACAGGTAGATATCAGGGTCAAAGGTTAGTAATAATTGACAGGTAGATATCAGGTCAAAGGTTAGTAATATTTGACAGGTGGATATTAGGGTAATAGGTTAGTAATATTTGACAGGTGGATATTAGGGTCATAGGTTAGTAATATTTGACAGGTGGATATTAGGGTCATAGGTTAGTAATATTTGACAGGTGGATATTAGGGTCATAGGTTAGTAATATTTGACAGGTGGATATTAGGGTAATAGGTTAGTAATATTTGACAGGTAGATATTAGGGTCATAGGTTAGTAATATTTGACAGGTGGATATTAGGATAATAGGTTAGTAATATTTGACAGGTGGATATTAGGGTCATAGGTTAGTAATATTTGACAGGTGGATATTAGAGTCATAGGTTAGTAATATTTGACAGGTGGATATTAGGGTCGTAGGTTAGTAATATTTGACAGGTGGATATTAGGGTCATAGGTTAGTATTATTTGACAGGATATTAGGGTCAAATGTTAGTAATACATGACAGGTGGATATTAGGTTTAAAGGTTAGTAATATATAACAGGTAATACTTGAAAGGCGAGTAGCATAGGTTAGTAATATTTGACAGGTGGATATTAGGGTCATAGGTTAGTAATATTTGACAGGTGGATATTAGGGTCATAGGTTAGTATTATGTGACAGGTGGATATTGAGTCAAATATAGTAATATTTAACAGGAGGATATTAGGGTCATAGATTAGTATTATTTGACAGGTGGATATTAGGGTCATACATTGTAGGTTAGTATTATTTGACAGGTGGATATTGAGTCAAATATAGTAATATTTAACAGGTGGATATTAGGGTCATAGATTAGTATTATTTGACAGGTGGATATTGAGTCAAATATAGTAATATTTAACAGGCGGATATTAGGGTCATAGATTAGTATTATTTGACAGGTGGATATTAGGGTCATACATTGTAGGTTAGTATTATTTGACAGGTGGATATTGAGTCAAATATAGTAATATTTAACAGGTGGATATTAGGGTCATAGATTAGTATTATTTGACAGGTGGATATTGAGTCAAATATAGTAATATTTAACATGAGAATATTAGGGTCAAAGGTTAGTAATATATGACAGGTGGATATTAGGGTCAAATATAGTAATATTTGACAGGTGAATATTGAGGTCAAAAGTTAGTAATACATGACAGATGGATACTAAGTTTAAAGGTTAGTAATATATAACAGGTAATACTTGAAAGGCGAGTAGCATAGGTTAGTAATGTTTGGCAAGTGATACAAGTCAAAGATCAAAGTGTTCGACAGAAAAAATGGTTATTAATATATATGTCAGGGTCAAACGTTAACAATATATGACAGGTCAATGTTAAGTGAATAATACTTAAAAAGCTAATATTTAAAAGTTGACAGGTTGGTATCAGGTCAAATGTTATTTAATATTTGTCATGAGGTTTTGGTCAAAGAAAAGTCAAGAAAGGCAGTTAGTGGTCAGTAACAAAGCTTATTAAATTTTGGCAGGTCACAGGGTGATGGTGGAACTAGTGATAAGCTGAGAGGTGCATATCAGTATTGGGGTCAAAAGTTATTAATGTTCAAAAAGTGACGGCCAGTTTCTAAGGTAAGTGGGTGATGGTGGAACTAGTGATAAGCTGAGAGGTGAATATCAGTGTCAGGGTCAAAGGTTATTAAATTTTGGCAGGTCGCAGGGTGATGGTGGAACTAGTGATAAGCTGAGAGGTGCATATCAGTATTGGGGTCAAAAGTTATTAATGTTCAAAAAGTGATGGCCAGTTTCTAAGGTAAGTGAGTGATGGTAGGACTAGTGATAAGCTGAGAGGTGCATATCAGTATCAGGGTCAAAGGTTACTAGTATTAAATTTTGGCAGGTGACAGCCAGTTTTTAAGGTAAGTGAGTGTTGGTGGGACTAGTGATAAGCTGAGAGGTGCATATCAGTATCAGGGTCAAAGGCTAGTGATGATCGACAATGACAAAAGTGGTTGACATTTAACCAAGGTCAAACACAAGTATTGATTGGCAATACACATGAATGTATCAGGGTCAAAGGTCAATGAGGGTTGACATGCAACCAAGGTCAACTGCTAGTGATGATTGGCAATGGGTATCAAGGTCAAAAGAATACCAGTACATTTATTGTCAATTGTAGATATGAATGAATAGTAAAAATGCCATGAATGAATAAATGAAAAACACACATAAATGAATGGAAACAGAGGATTTAGACTGAGACTCGATTCTATTGTTCCCAGACATGTGTCAGGAGATATATCACCTACCACAAAAATCAAAATCAAAAATGGTATCATCAACACCTAAAATCATTAAACAGAAACAGAAAGAGAAAATAAATAATTCAAAATAACTGAATTTATAAGACATCAATAATGAAAATTCAATATGTGATGAGACAGAGTGTTTGCAGCATACCTGGTCTTGCTAACGGTAAGGTCATTGGAAAGTGACGTTTCTGCATCGGACGAATCCTGGATAAAAACATACAGAGAATAGTACATTTAGTTGGAGTACAGTCACAACATAAATTGTCATACACAATGATTTATTTTATGATTTCAAAAAAAGAATTATGAGACAAATTTTTATGAGAAAATTTGATAGAACATAATTTCACACAAAATTGCATGTATCCTCAAATTATTTACATCACTAACCTTGTTGGTTCTTGCTGGCTTTGGAAATGCAATGGGTGAGCCTGGAAGTGTCCGAATATTTCAAATACGATGGGTTGATTTTGAACATAGTCAATAAATGCCTTGGTGACTGTCACTGTTATCTGTGATGGTAAACAACATTAGTTAGCTTGGTTGAATCACAACTATCAAAAGAAATGGCAGTGTCATCATCAATTTGTTTTTTTCAGGTATATGGTAGAAAGTAGGATGTTGTAGTATGAGTATGATCAGTAGGCATAGGTGGGAATCTGACCAATAGGCATACAATGTGGATTTCATTAGTAGGAAAATGGTAGTAATCTGACCAGCAGGCATAGGTGGGAATCTGACCAATAGGCATACAATGTGGATTTCATTAGCAGGAAAATGGTAGTAATCTGACCAGCAGGCATACGTGAGAATCTGACCAATAGGCATACAATGTGGATTTCATTAGCAGGAAAATGGTAGTAATCTGACCAGCAGGCATAGGTGGGAATCTGACCAATAGGCATACAATGTGGATTTCATTAGTAGGAAAATGGTAGTAATCTGATCAGCAGGCATAGGTGGGAATCTGACCAATAGGCATACAATGTGGATTTCATTAGTAGGAAAATGGTAGTAATCTGACCAGCAGGCATAGGTGGGAATCTGACCAATAGGCATACAATGTGGATTTCATTAGTAGGAAAATGGTAGTAATCTGACCAGCAGGCATAGGTGGGAATCTGACCAATAGGCATACAATGTGGACTTCATTAGTAGGAAAATGGTAGTAATCTGATCAGCAGGCATAGGTGGGAATCTGACCAATAGGCATACAATGTGGATTTCATTAGTAGGAAAATGGTAGTAATCTGACCAGCAGGCATAGGTGGGAATCTGACCAATAGGCATACAATGTGGATTTCATTAGTAGGAAAATGGTAGTAATCTGACCAGCAGGCATAGGTGGGAATCTGACCAATAGGCATACAATGTGGATTTCATTAGACATATAGTGGGAATAAGACCAGTAGGCCTATGGTGGATTCTGTTAGTAGGCATACAGTGGGAATAAGACCAGTAGGCATATGGTGGGATCTGTCAGTATGTATATAGTAGGAATCTGACCATTAGGTATATGGTGGAAATTGGATCAGTAGGCATATGGTGGGAATTGATCAGTAGTCATATGGTGGGAATTCATAAGTAGGCATATGGTGGGAATTGATAAGTAGTCATATGGTGGGAATTGATAAGTAGTCATATGGTGGGAATTGATCAGTAGTCATATGGTGGGAATTTATAAGTAGTCATATGATAGGAATTGATCAGTAGGCATATGGTGGGAATTGATAAGTAGGCATATGGTGGGAATTGATCAGTAGTCATATGGTGGGAATTGATCAGTAGGCATATGGTGGGAATTGATCAGTAGTCATATGGTGGGAATTTATAAGTAGGCATATGGTGGGAATTTATAAGTAGGCATATGGTGGGAATTTATAAGTAGGCATAT